ATAAGACAGGTCTATCAGTTGTATTGTCTATAAGGGGTAGTATGGAAGACAGGTCTATCAGTTGTATTGTCTATAAGGGGTAGAATGGTAGACAGGTCTATCAGTTGTATTGTCTATAAGGGGTAGAATGGTAGACAGGTCTATCAGTTGTATTGTCTATAAGGGGTAGAATGTAAGACAGGTCTATCAGTGGTATTGTCTATAAGGGGCAGAATGGAAGACAGGTCTATCAGTTGTATTGTCTATAAGGGGTAGAATGTAAGACATGTCTATCAGTTGTATTGTCTATAAGGTGTAGTATGGAAGACAGGTCTATCAGTTGTATTGTCTATAAGGGGTAGAATGGAAGACAGGCCTATCAGTTGTATTGTGTATAAGGGTTAGAATGGAAGACAGGTCTATCAGTTGTATTGTCTATAAGGGGTAGAATGTAAGACAGGTCTATCAGTTGTATTGTCTATAAGGGGTAGTATGGAAGACAGGTCTATCAGTTGTATTGTGTATAAGGGGTAGAATGGAAGACAGGTCTATCAGTTGTATTGTCTATAAGGGGTAGAATGGAAGACAGGTCTATCAGTTGTATTGTCTATAAGGGTTAGAATGTAAGACAGGTCTATCAGTTGTATTGTCTATAAGGGGTAGAATGTAAGACAGGTCTATCAGTGGTATTGTCTATAAGGGGGTGAATGGAAGACAGGTCTATCAGTTGTATTGTGTATAAGGGGTAGAATGGAAGACAGGTCTATCAGTTGTATTGTCTATAAGGGGTAGAATGGAAGACAGGTCTATCAGTTGTATTGTCTATAAGGGGTAGAATGTAAGACAGGTCTATCAGTTGTATTGTCTATAAGGGGTAGAATGTAAGACAGGTCTATCAGTGGTATTGTCTATAAGGGGGTGAATGGAAGACAGGTCTATCAGTTGTATTGTCTATAAGGGGTAGAATGGAAGACAGGTCTATCAGTTGTATTGTCTATAAGGGGTAGAATGTAAGACAGGTCTATCAGTTGTATTGTCTATAAGGGGTAGTATGGAAGACAGGTCTATCAGTTGTATTGTCTATAAGGGGTAGAATGGTAGACAGGTCTATCAGTTGTATTGTCTATAAGGGGTAGAATGGTAGACAGGTCTATCAGTTGTATTGTCTATAAGGGGTAGAATGTAAGACAGGTCTATCAGTGGTATTGTCTATAAGGGGCAGAATGGAAGACAGGTCTATCAGTTGTATTGTCTATAAGGGGTAGAATGTAAGACATGTCTATCAGTTGTATTGTCTATAAGGTGTAGTATGGAAGACAGGTCTATCAGTTGTATTGTCTATAAGGGGTAGAATGGAAGACAGGCCTATCAGTTGTATTGTGTATAAGGGTTAGAATGGAAGACAGGTCTATCAGTTGTATTGTCTATAAGGGGTAGAATGTAAGACAGGTCTATCAGTTGTATTGTCTATAAGGGGTAGTATGGAAGACAGGTCTATCAGTTGTATTGTGTATAAGGGTTAGAATGGAAGACAGGTCTATCAGTTGTATTGTCTATAAGGGGTAGTATGGAAGACAGGTCTATCAGTTGTATTGTCTATAAGGGTTAGAATGTAAGACAGGTCTATCAGTTGTATTGTCTATAAGGGGTAGAATGTAAGACAGGTCTATCAGTGGTATTGTCTATAAGGGGGTGAATGGAAGACAGGTCTATCAGTTGTATTGTGTATAAGGGTTAGAATGGAAGACAGGTCTATCAGTTGTATTGTCTATAAGGGGTAGTATGGAAGACAGGTCTATCAGTTGTATTGTCTATAAGGGTTAGAATGCAAGACAGGTCTATCAGTTGTATTGTCTATAAGGGGTAGAACGTAAGACAGGTCTATCAGTGGTATTGTCTATAAGGGGGTGAATGGAAGACAGGTCTATCAGTTGTATTGTAAGGGGTAGAATGTAAGATAGGTGTATCAGTTGTATTGTCTAAGGGGTAGAATGGAAGACAGGTCTATCGATGGTTTGCTCACTCGCTCCATTTTTTTTCAGCTGAAAATCCGTAGACCAATTGTTCCATTTGGTGTGACCTAAAGATGAAAATTATTATTGTTTTTTCTTGCAGAATATCGCAGTAAATGTTTAACTAAAGTTACTATGCAGAAATATGATCCGATGGATTCTGTATCTGATATGTTTTATAAATTTAAAGATCCTAAAACTAATTTGAAATTTCAAGTTGGTATGAAACTAGAGGCTATAGACCCTCTCAATCTATCAGCTATTTGTGTAGCCACTGTTACTAAGGTTAGTGTCATATGCTTACTGTTTTAGAACACCAAACTGCCTACTGTCCTGGTTCTAATCTGTAATTATTTTCTCTGTATGTCCACATGACAATACGACCCCATCATCCAATCAGAATAGTTTTAAACTCATCTTATTAACTGTTAGATATACAGCGAAGTTACACATAACATCACAAAATGGCAAAAATAAATGGAGTTGGTCTTTATAACTCTAGTCTGTGACAACAAATTACCAAGAAAAACCCCCCGTTTGTCTCTAGCATAAAGAGACTTAGGTTCTTTACAATTCTGTCTATCAGCTAGTCCTTGGTTCAACCCCTTATCACTGATCTTTCCAGTAGAAACTTGTGCACCATTTGTTTGAATACCTTAGTCTCAGAAACAGGAATTTTTTGGGTAATGCTAGTCAGTTAAAGTGTTCACAGTTCACCATCGAAATGTGCTCATCCAAATCTATGTGTGTCCAAAATTATCGACTTTTGAATGTTAAAATGATGACTCGCCTTTGTAATTTTTTCCATCATATATAGAAATAGGAAGTAAAAGAAATTCCTAATTTGAGATATTTTTGAAGGAATTTTGTGATTTTCGTACATTTCTACTTCTTCTGAAGACTATTTACATATACATTCAAGACTCAAATCAACCACCCAGAATGTCACACCTGTCTCTTTAATAAACATAAAATATCTGTATCTATTATAGGTATTAAAGAATAATTATATAATGATAGGAATAGATGGTTCTGCTGCCCAGAATGGTTCTGATTGGTTCTGTTACCATTCTTCCTCACCCTGTATCTTTCCTGTGGGGTTCTGTGAAATCAATGGTATCACTCTGACCCCACCCCGGGGATTTAAAGGAATATTTAAATGGTTTGAATATCTCAAACAAACAAAATCTGTAGCAGCTCCAGTGAAACTCTTTGATAAGGAAATCCCGAAACATGGATTTAAAGTTGGTCATAAAATAGAAGCAGTAGATCTGATGGAACCAAGGTAGAGTTTATTTCTTTTATATTATTGTCAGGTTCCAAATTTCCCTAATTGCACACTGGATGGCATTGGTCATCATCTTAAACTCAATCAGGTGCAGAAGAGTAGAACGTAAATCTCCAATTCATTTATCCGTCTTCATTAGCCTACATGGTGCAGAAAAGTAGGACGTAAAACTCCAGTCATTTAATTTCATTTCCAATTCATTTATTTACAACTTTTCTGATTGGCTTGTTTATAATCCAATCAAATTGCTGCATTTACGAACTAACATGATACAAGAAAAGTGCCTAATGATGTCAAGGTAATAGACAGGTGATAGCTTGACTTGACTTGACATAGTGATGATGACTAAATATTAGCTAGCAGATTGTTTGATCAGAATGTTTTTGATTGTTAAGTGAATTATTTATCTTATAGATTGATCTGTGTAGGAACTGTGACTAAAGTTGTAGGAAGATTGCTACGGATACATTTTGATGGTTGGGAGAATGAATATGATCAGTGGGTAGATTGTGAGACTCCAGATCTCTATCCTGTTGGTTGGTGTGAAATGATGGGATATACTTTAGAGGGACCAAGGATGAAAAGTAAGTCAAACCCCGATTCCTAAATAAAAGATATGCTATACTGGTAGAAGTGAATGAGGAAATATATTAATCATGAATGAGTAATTTATTATGAAAAGTGGTATCAGGTGTCTAGAAGAGTAAGCATACCCTGCCTGGCAGCTCACTATTACTCTATATTGATTATTTATCATAGCACATTTTTGTGAAGTTTAGTTCTATATAAATATACACATATATCACATTATTATAATCAACAACACCATATCAAACTACCAACTACCAACAACTACCTACTATGATTATAATCAACAACACAGAATCAAACTACCAACCTACCTACTATGATTATAATCAACAACACAGAATCAAACTACCAACAACTACCTACTATGATTATAATCAACAACACAGAATCAAACTACCAACAACTACCTACTATGATTATAATCAACAACACAGAATCAAACTACCAACAACTACCTACTATGATTATAATCAACAACACAGAATCAAACTACCAACAACTACCTACTATGATTATAATCAACAACACAGAATCAAACTACCAACAACTACCTACTATGATTATAATCAACAACACAGAATCAAACTACCAACAACTACCTACTATGATTATAATCAACAACACAGAATCAAACTACCAACAACTACCGACTATGATTATAATCAACAACACAGAATCAAACTACCAACAACTACCGACTATGATTATAATCAACAACACAGAATCAAACTACCAACTACCACGTCTACCAACAACTACCTAGTTTGTGATATCAGCATCCACTGGGAGCGAACCGTAACTTGTCATCTACCAAACTACCTACTATGATTATAATTCTATGTTTTTCAGTGGAAACTCAGTCTATGAATATACCGCTGAGTAAAAAACGTAAAAATAAAGCTCAGTTATATAAAGGACAGAGGAAGAGTAAGTTCAATGGTTTGTACAGATTTTTACTAACATTTTATCTTTCAAACTTGTTGTTATTACTCAGAGTTTCACGCTATATTAATTACTATATACACCATCATCTTTAATATTATACCCTTTATCATTCATTAACATAGAACATATATTTTAATCCAATCAGCATTGGCTAAATAATCCTATTAATTGAATACTTAATCATTAAAGATGGGTCTTCCTTATTTTTTAGTGTCAAATTAAGCAAATTATTTGATTAATTGGTGTTTCTAATGAATTATCATGTATTCTTAATCATATCATTATATTCTTATTGCATATAATTAAGAGTTTTAACCAATCACTCATTGGAATTCTGCTGGTAATTCTCTTTTAATTTAGCTAATTATGAATTAATTATGAGACAAACTGGTATTTTTCCAAGTCATTCGAACACCTCTACTTTCTGTTCATATAAGTTTTAGTATTTTCATTTTCATCAATGAAAATAAGGGAACCCATCTTTAAGAATTTCTCAATCATGTGACATCCCTCTGTCAGTGATGCAGGTTAGACGGGCTGACATGGAAAAAGCGTCTAGTCTGAACTTAAAATGGAGATTTGTGGTATTTTCAATTGTTTTTGTTTATTTTATTTTCAGAAAAGAAAAGATCGCCAGGGAAACCTGGTTTAAATTATTTAGAGACAGGTGACGGTCAGAATTATCCCCCCTATGTTTCTCTACCTGCGGAGGCTGTGGTAGCTAATTTACCCCCCATGTTAGATCAACCTTCATCCAATCACCTTAAAGGTAAGATTTTATTTTACTATTGGTAGAGGGGCTTAGACTTCTTACTCGCTTTCTTCTCTTTTCTACAAAAATTTCTTCTACTTGTATAATTTACATTATGGCAATATATGGTGGCCTTTTTTCCATTTTACAGATCTTTATAGTTCAAAGAAAAAAAAGGTGGAATTAGCCTGTTTTGGGGCAAAGTTTCCCTCATCGCACACTGGCCTTTTCACATTTAAATAAGGCCAGAGATTCCTTGATTCTGATTTCAGGGCAATGATAATGATGTTAAAGTCTTATTATAATAACAGTTTATAAACAGTAAGTCTAGTTTATAATGGCAGCGAACAAATTATCCAATTTTATTTCCTTTCCATATCATATTTATTTTTTATCTCTTCAGGCAATCGTCTTGACACCAGTTCTGAACAACCAACAGCTGGCGATAACCCACCAGTACTAAGTCCTAGTCAGACGCCGGCCATATCAAGGGCAGCAACTATGCCAGTTATAACGCAATTCAAAACAGAGACTAGTCCAGTGATTAATCAAAGAAATTTAACATTGAGTCAACATCTACTCTCGGGTACGAATATATTAAATAAACATTCTAGTCTGAACCAATCAAATAACAGTGCTAATACCATTAAACCCACAGCACCACCTAGTGGTGAGAAAGTGACATTATCGATGACAACGCGACATCAAACAGTGCTACCTGAACATTGGACGATATTAGATGTATATCAGTTTTTACATGTTAATGATTGTGCTATGTATTGTGAAAGCTTTAAGAAAAAGGTAGGTCTTGTTTAGCCATTTTATATCATTGGGTGTTTTATATCATTGGGAGTTTTATATCATTGGGAGTTTTATATCATTGGGAGTTTTATATCATTGGGTGTTTTATATCATTGGGTGTTTTATATCATTGGGTGTTTTATATCATTGGGAGTTTTATATCATTGGGAGTTTTATATCATTGGGAGTTTTATATCATTGGGTGTTTTATATCATTGGGAGTTTTATATCATTGGGTGTTTTATATCATTGGGAGTTTTATATCATTGGGAGTTTTATATCATTGGGAGTTTTATATCATTGGGTGTTTTATATCATTGGGAGTTTTATATCATTGGGAGTTTTATATCATTGGGAGTTTTATATCATTGGTTGTTTTATATCATTGGATGTTTTATATCATTGGGAGTTTCATATCATTGGGTGTTTTATATCATTGGGTGTTTTATATCATTGGGAGTTTTATATCATTGGGAGTTTTATATCATTGGGAGTTTTATATCATTGGGTGTTTTATATCATTGGGTGTTTTATATCATTGGGTGTTTTATATCATTGGGAGTTTTATATCATTGGGTGTTTCATATCATCGGGAATTTTGCCTCTCGTATTATTACTAATTTGTATCATTGAAAATTTATGATTAACTGTTCCAATTTTACCAGTTTTGGTAAGTGGGCACAAAGATTCTGAAAGTTTGGGAACCAAAGGCCAGTCATAGCCTATTATTGAATTGTTGTCTCCTCCATAAAAATTGAGTTTTCCATGTGAAATTTAATGTTTTTGTCTATTTCTAGGGAATTGATGGGAGGAAATTTATAAACCTGACTAAAGAAGAAATTGTCAGTTTAACGTCCATGAAAGTCGGACCCTCGTTACGTATTTACGATCTCATCCAATATCTTAAACAACATTTTGAACGTAAGTGCCGATTAGATGAATTTACGTGAGGCATTAGATAAGATTGATACCAAATTACTGTGGTAGAATTGTTGAGTTTATCAAAATAGCATTAGAAGGTGTGTGGACTCTCTGAAAGGGATGCCAAGTTGATAAACTTAGTTGTAGAGTGGTATTTAATGTTCTACATGATCAAGTGTTTGAAATTGTTTGAAGTAACATAGATCTATCAAAAAAGTAGTTACTACTCATTAGTTGCTGTGTGGACTCTCTGATAGTGAATGCTGAGTAGACAAACCGAGAATGACCAAAAACTATGTGGACTCTCTGAAAGAATGCCACGAACCTGAATACCCAGAAAACATTATTGGCCATGTGGACTCTCTGAAAGAGATGTGACTCTATAAGAGTGAAATAGATCTGATCCGTGGAGAGTATTATCTAAGAGGAAAAAGATTTGAAAGTGAAGGCAGCGTGTTTGAAAGATCCATCAAAACCAAATAGTAAGATCAAGATACCAGCTAGAAATTTGCTGGTAACCATAAGTAACCTGGACTAAATCAAGCATTATCCTGGTAACCAATAGTTAAGAATGTAGCATGTGTTATTATTCTAGAATGGGTGTTAAATGTTATTATGGTAACCAATAGTAACCAGAACTCTAACATGTAAACAGTGTTGTGATGTATATATATCCAATATTTATTTTATAAAACAAGTTAAACCATTTTATTATCTTTCCTGTCCTATTCACAGGGCTTTGATTCACAGACGGTGAAATTTGAGAGAAAACAGGAATTTTATTCTTATTAATAATTTATGTTTCAATGCCCTTTAGTCTGATTATCCATTTTGTCAGAAAATTTTAAAGTTATTGTCAAGCAAAGGTTTTTGTATACATCTAGATTCCAGGCTAGGTATTCTGGAAAATATCTTAAGACTAGGATATCCTTGAAATAGAGTTAGATCGTTTGGAGAATACAGAGTCTAGGTTTGATTTAAAACATGGATGTTCACAATCATCAACTCTACAGTATAATTTCTCATGGGTTTAGTTTTTGTGATGTTTCATGAAAGAAAATTCTCTTTGGGTGTTAGTTAGAACAAAGCATCTTCTTGGCACACCCCTACTTTTGATTGAACTCTTCCACTCGTGTAGTTGTTCAACCAGTATTATACATTGTTTGTATGATTGGAAGAGTTCAATAGTAAATTAGGGGTGACACCTAGTCTTCAGTGTCCTCTTCCACTCATTCACACTTTTAACCAATCAGAAAGTGTTATATGTATGTTAAGAAGAGTTGATTAGTAAATTTAGGGGTGCAAGCCTTGGATGTTGAATGAAGGGACAAGCTTATATTTTCCTAACCCAGAATAGAATGACCCCCCTTTGTTTATGGTTTAAACTGCCCCCTCCCCCTTTGTTTATGGTTTAAACTGCCCCCTCCCATTGTATTATGCATTTATTTTTCCTCTTTATAAGTTGTTGATGTTTGGGTATAAACTAGGGGCCTCTTATCAAGAATACTTACAAATCATTGGTTGAAGTTGACAACAATTAACAACTAAAATTATTTTAGGCTGAGAGCTAAGACTTAAAAAATGGCATTGAGATGAAAAATAATTATTTATTAATGTTCTCTCTAAGAGTTGTATATTTATATCTAATTATCTATGTGGACTCTCTGAAATATTTTCCTATATATAGCACACTTCTTTACTTTCAAAGCACAAACACAGAACTAAAGAAAGTTGGTGTAGAATGAGCATCTCTTCCTCGCTAAAATTCACTTTCTTTCCGACTTTAGCCTTGTAGCTCTGTAACCTAACCTTCAAACCTCTGATAAAGATGAAATCCAGATTTTAAGAAATTCAGTAATCTGATTGGATAGTAAAACTAGATTTAAAATCATTTTGTGTGTTTGACCAATCAGATGGCTGGAACACTAAAATCATTTGTTGTGTTTTTAGATTCCTGAAGTGTATTTTTGTAAGTTATACTGTCTGTCATGAATAGTTGAAACATTAGTACCTCAAAATGTCCAGTTTGTAAACTTGCCCCACCTTCACAATAATTTCATTAGTAGGCTACCTTAATGTCAAGTTGGTTTGTAGGTTTGTAATCTTCTCCCACCCTCTCCATCATGAAACAATATCTGATGTCTATGCAAAGACTTGCCAGGACTATAACTATGTAGGTATTTTATATTTTTATATATAGAAAGGTGTTTTGTTTGTACATTAAAATATAACATGAAGAGGTAAATATCCTAGCTTCAAGCAAACTGATAATATTATTTATTGGTACATGAAAGGGATGGGTGCGCTTATCTTTTTCACCAATCATTCTTTAATCTTAGAAACGGGAATTTTTTATCTAAGCCAATCAGTAATAGTGTTCACAGCTCACCGTTGAAATTTGAGCCTTCAAATCCATGTGTATCCAGAATTATCCGCGTTTGAATGGATACTCTGTGATAGATAGGAATAGAAAGTGAAATATTCTAGTTTGAAGTATTTTTGAAGGAATTATGACTGTGATTTTTGTACATTTCTAGTATTTATGAATACTATTTAGATATAATATTCAAGACTCAAATCAACCACCCAGAAATGGTGCATCAGTCCCTTTAAAAAGGTCCAATTTGTTGTAGAATTTAAGAAGAACATCCTGGAGAAGTTGACTTTATTTTGAGGTGGTATAAACTGCAATGAACATGATATAACTCCTGCCTGTTTATTTCTGATTACTATTTATTCTACTGAAGTAAATGGACTGCTTGTGATTGTTCCAATTTAAAGATGGGTTTCCTCATTTTTTTAGTGTCAAATTAAGCAAACTATTTGGTGTTTCTGTTGAATTATCATGTATTCTTGATCATATCATTATGTTCTTACTGCATATAATTAAAATGATTTTAACTAATCATAAATGTCCATGTATGTACCGTCTGGATAAACAAAAAAAAGACATTTTGACCTTTCATGATCGGTCACTCATTGGAATTCTGCTGGTAATTCTCTTCTAATTTAGCTAATTATGAATTAATTATGGATATGTGAGACAAACTGGTATTTTTCCAAGTCATTAGAACACCTCTATTTTCTATTCATATAAGTATTAGCATTTTCATTTCCATAAATGAAAATAAGGGAACCCATCTTTAAACCATTGTTCATAAATATTTAATCTTGACTATATATATATGATTATTATATGATGTCCTTAACTAGTATTATTGGTGTGTAAAAGGAATTGATCATATGACAAACTGAATAAATGACGAAGTCTATATTATGTTTGTGGCGTGTTCAACTGCGTTTACACACCAATAATACTAGTAAGACCAACTTTACGTTTAATTCTTATGTTTATATTCAGATACTTTTATTAATACAATTTTCACTGTTTTATATGATCAGTTATTTGAATTTGCCACTAATCTTAGATTGTGTCATTGTTTTGACGATGTCATAGTGTCATGTGACAAACAGTTTATGGAAAAATAAACGTCAGTTCGTGTAACTGGTTGATTGAAGGGAGTGATAGTAGAAATGTATATATTAGTTGATAAACCAATCAGAGAGTGGCAAGCTCTAACTGGGTTTATCAACTATTGTTAATTTTAGGACATCATATAATAATTACACCTAGCTCTGTCGCCAGGGTGGAATTGGTGCTGGGGCTCAGATTTTATACTCAGAAAATTTGAAGAATTAACGACCCAGAGAACTCATTTCTGACAATTTTGAGATACCAAAAACATATCAAAATCTATATCTTTTTGATTTTGAGAAGGTTTTGCTGGTACTTAATTCTCACTTGCTGGGGCCCAACCCCCATGGACCACACCCTAACGACGGGGCTGTTTATAGTCAAGCATAATTACTTAATATTTATGTACAATGGGATAATTTTGGGTTGTTTGTTTACAAATAAATTAATTATTACAGAATACAATAATAAAGATTTCTAGAGTTTATATATTAAATCAGACCAATACAGCATGAAAAGATAAAATACATATATTTGTTATCTGTTATGTTTATATAGTATTCTATGTTTTTGATATTAAATAATGTCAAACATCATCATTTTTGTCTATTGTATCTATATTTATATAAGAATGAGAGTACCAGCTACTATTATTGATATGATAGTTTTATCCACAATTTTTTTAACTTTTCACTTTCGTATATACACTGGTGTAACCTATATTCTTGCATATATATTAGGTTACTTGACTGTATATTAGATTATAACAGATGATGATGAGAATTTGAGGATTGCTACTGATAACTTGTCTGTTTGTATATAATGAGGGAAAATATTCCAGGACACAGAACTATAGCCTACTAATTTAAGGGTATTTCAGTTAGTCTGTAGCACTGAGACTGCGTTCTTTTCTCATTTCAAACAGCTTGTCTTTCATCAAGTCAGCCCAACCCCCAATTAATATCTGTCTTGTAGAAAAGGTCTGTCTGTCCCATCTGAATGTATCCTTTCTCCATATCTGCGCCTCCGACAAACCCACCCAACTGTATAACATCAATATGTATGAAGACAGCCGTCTGTTTAAAGTTTTGCCCCTCTGACCTCAGATATACATCTCAACCTATAACAGCTACCCAGGATTAACCTCTCTCTCCCTCCACAAAAAGATAAATTTATCTCAAATTATATCTCAATCGGTCAATAGAACAAAGACCCTCTGCTTATTCTCCTGTCTGAATGGTTATCCCCTATGGACAGTCCCTTGACCGACAAAGGTACATCTCAATCGATGTCTACATCACCAGCAAGTAGACAAGAAAGATATATTTAAAATGCCATGATTTAATAGGTGAAAGAAAAATAATGGATACACAACATAAAAACATTACATGTAAATTTCTACATTTCAAATGACAGCAATGACATTAACTGAATGGTAAGACTGAACATCGAGGGCCAGCACTAGTAATGACAATTTATAGCCTAGCAAAAACATTCCTGCAAATCAGGACAGAATCAATATCATAAACAGTCCACCTTATTTTGTAATAGTAAAAATAGTAGTTATAACTATAATTAGACCTATATTTTATTCATTACTACTAGTACTATAATATAAAGTGGTATGTCTAGAATCTAACGTGGACGTACACTAATAGTTTTGTCTGATTTCCGTTCACATCTCTCTAAATATCATCGAGTCCCATAGCACTTGTACAGTGATTTGATGAAAAATGAAATGAAAAAATATAGCACTTTTTTTTTTAAATGAATTTTCTGGACATGAAAGCACACGCTTCAAGAAGTTCGAAAAATCCGAGGAGTGTGTTTGAAATTTTGAACTTACTTGAAGTTTGGCATTGCTCTGAATGAAAAAAACGATTGAAAGCAGAGTATACTGAAGACATAAATATCCCTATTTGTGATAATGAACTGCTCCAAAAATGCATGACCAAATGGAAATACATCAGTAGAAGAGTTCAAAATTGATTCACAGAGGAGTTCAGGTCAAAATACAATACAACTCGCCTCCACTCTAAAATGTTCAGTTAACTAAGAATGGTGACAATATTTCCTAATATACAACAAAATATGATAAACAGGGGCCTGCTCTTACATTTCTCCTTAACTCTAGATGAAATAATTTGACAGGCAACCAAACATACCCCCCTCATCTTACTAATGAGCTCTTCCAAATATGTTAAATATTGATGAGAAAGTTCAATAAAAGGTCAAGGGGTTTCAACAAAATGACTGAATCAACCTTACAATATGTAATAATAACTAATTTAAAACTAGTCTACAATCAAGCAAAATGAGCTGACATTAACCCACTTTATAAATTAGCTTCATTAATATTAGACTAATTAGTGAATGATAGAGCAGGCCCTGAATAAAATGAGATGATTAAATTTGTCCCATAATGGTGCACAACAAACAGCATGACAAGGAGTTATTAAACATGAAACGTTCTGCACCAAATTATCGTTTAGTTTTCGTCACAAGTTATTATTTTACACCCCAGTCCGTGAAATATATTTTATCGTGGTGATGATTGATTCGTGTGATTGGATCCACCCGTCTGTGACTGAAATACATCTATCGAATCTCCGTCTTCCATATCCAACTGAAATACAAAAAAATTGGTTCAAAAAATATTTACAAAACAAATTAGTTGTGCTTGTGTTGATTGGCTGGCTTGAAAATCATGTGATATTGAGTTTGAAAGGAAGAGTAAATAGTAGTAAATAATTGTTTAAAACCTGGTCCGAGTAAAAAAAAAAAAAAAAGAGGAAAAGCGGTTCGAGTTTGCAATGAAAGTGAGCCAAGTTTGTCATGAATTTTTTTTTTTCAAAAGTGGGCTGAGTTTGCATATTTGCGAGTTTGTTTTGGTCCGAGTTGACCTGATTCCAATGCAGCCTGATGAAAGAAAATTCAAGATATTTACCGATATTGGAGTGTCATCATCATTCATTGGATTTCCATCAAATCTAAATCTCACTGCTCCAGCTGTGATACCCTGAAAATAAAGATCCATAAAATCAGGGGTTGAAATTATCTAGAAATAACTATCAGGGGTTGAAATTATCTAGAAATAACTATCAGGGGTTGAAACTATCTAGAAATAACTATCACAGGTTTAAGCTATCTAGAAATAACTATCAGGGGTTGAAACTATCTAGAAATAACTATCAGGGGTTTAAACTATCTAGAAATAACTATCAGGGGTTTAAACTATCTAGAAATAACTATCAGGGGTTGAAACTATCTAGATATCAGGGGTTTAAACTATCTAGAAATAACTATCAGGGGTTTAAACTATCTAGAAATAACTATCAGGGGTTTAAACTATCTAGAAATAACTATCAGGGGTTGAAACTATCTAGAAATAACTATCACAGGTTTAAGCTATCTAGAAATAACTATCAGGGGTTGAAACTATCTAGAAATAACTATCAGGGGTTGAAACTATCTAGAAATAACTATCAGGGGTTTAAACTATCTAGAAATAACTATCAGGGGTTTAAACTATCTAGAAATAACTATCAGGGGTTGAAACTATCTAGAAATAACTATCAGGGGTTGAAACTATCTAGAAATAACTATCAGGGGTTGAAACTATCTAGAAATAACTATCAGGGGTTGAAACTATCTAGAAATAACTATCAGGGGTTGAAACTATCTAGAAATAACTATCAGGGGTTGAAACTATCTAGAAATAACTATCAGGGGTTGAAACTATCTAGAAATAACTATCAGGGGTTGAAACTATCTAGAAATAACTATCAGGGGTTGAAACTATCTAGAAATAACTATCAGGGGTTGAAACTATCTAGAAATAACTATCAGGGGTTGAAACTATCTAGAAATAACTATCAGGGGTTGAAACTATCTAGAAATAACTATCAGGGTTGAAACTATCTAGAAATAACTATCAGGGGTTGAAACTATCTAGAAAAAACTATCAGGGGTTGAAACTATCTAGAAATAACTATCAGGGATCTTATTTTAAAAAGATAAAGATAAGTCCAGACTTTAAAATAAAAGCATATACGTACTGATTGGACAATAAAACTAAGTTTAAATGATTGATTAATCAGTTGACTGAAAACAATTTCAAGTTGTAAAGAAAAAGACCAAGGGTTGCATTGCAGAATCTCTGAACTTATAACTACACTACTACTCTCTCACTACATAAAGCTTTGAATCAATTTTTCTCTCATTTCATAAGTATTCAAAATAACATTTTCAACTTTATGCCATTTGTCTTAGAATGTCTTTGGGTCAATAGAAATATAAGGTTCAGTGATTATACATTTAAACTCTGTAAAAACATATTTAATAATATTCACTTTTTCAGTGGTTAACATTTTCATTAACCCAAAGACAATTTAAGACTCTCGGTAGTATTCTGTTGTTGATATTTCAATTCATATAAAAATGATTGGTAAAATGCAATTCAGAAAATTGTGTAGTCCGAGAGTACATTGTGTGATTGAAAAACTTTAGCTAGAAACTTTTGAGAGGAAATTATAAGCCTCGTTCTGTGACTGTTAAAAACCCAAGAGAAATTCACCATTAGATCAGCAATTCTTTATTTTTATTATTTTATAGAATTATCTGAAATATTTTATTGTATATTCTGTGTATACTTACGGCTCTGTTACAATATGCAGACATTAATTTTCGTAGAGGTGTGTTCTTTTTAATTTTAAAATGGACCACACTGCCATCTTGTCCTGTAACTTTTAAATTAATGTGTTCTGATCCAATCTTTTCATCGTTTACCTACAAAACAAAATTAAGATTTCTTCATATTCATATCATTCCACAAAGACAAGGTACAATTAGGTCTTGCATTCTGTGTCTGATGACCATTTTATGGCGTCCAACAATTTTTCATCCCACAAGGAAACATTCCACCGTAAAAAAAAAACAAACTTAAAGTAAGAAAAGCCTAATTAAAAACATTCGAGGCCATGTGCCAACTCCAGAGTCTGGAATTTGATTTTGGAATAGGATTTGGTAGAACAGGAAGAAAAATATATTCTCTCCGAAATTGAGACATTAAGTAAAACAATAGTCGTATCGGAAGAACATGAACGTACAGCGAATAGGTTTATCTCTAATATCAGAGAAAACCTGCTACATATTCAATAAAACTTTTCCGGAAGGCATGTTGAAAATAAAAATCAGAAAGTCCTCGCTATTTCCACCACAAATTCATGTGCCTTTTGTTAAAACGGAAAAATTACAATTTTCTTCAAAATGAAACTCAATGTACCGATAATTCCCTGTTTTTCGTCTGACATTTTGGGGAAATAAAAAGAGACCAAGCCGCCGCAATGAAAATGGCGCAATGGTTTCTACAAAGGATTATGGGATTGCCGGGAAATTTATCTCTAGTCACTGTCTACCAGACTGTAGAATCTTTATCCAGTCTGAACCAAAACGTAACCAGTCACACATGATTGATTTTCATTTATAATCCGAAATGTCCGTTTTCTATAAGATTGTGCAACTATACCCATGTCCTGTAAGATAGCAAATAAAATGACTTCGGTGTATGACAATTACAGCCCCCCCCCCCCTCCCAGAATTCAGTCTAGCGTCTCAAATTTCATGTAATTGAAGTTGTAATACCGAATGCTGTGAGCCCCATTGGTAGTTCTGTTTTAACAATACAAATGGGTGAACTCTTGGCATTATGGCACGGTGTGGGTAATTTCTCTATCAAAGCTACTAATAATATCATTAATATTCCATACCAACTTTCTTGGCCATTTATTAACAAACCCTTGTGGCTCACTAGAGTTCTGAGAAACCACGTTATATTGACAGGACAATAACATGGCAAGTGACAGTAAGGAACGACAACTGTGTATGAGAGATGGCCAAATTGGTTGAGTTATTACAACCTATTCCAACAATGGTTGCCTCTCGCCCCAGTTTTGTTCGAGGATTGTCGTCTGCTAGGTGATTAATTACCTTGAAAGTGAGAAATCCTCAGCCAATGTTTCCGATAGTTGACCTGGTGTCGGCTTTCAACCCTTCATACCTAAACCTGTATATAGTTGGTAGAATTTATACTTATCTTAGTTGATCTACACTACACACCCCTAAAAACAAAATGAGCCAGGTCCTGTTTATTATCTACATCAATATATGAGAAATAAGGTCAAGGGTCAAAACTCTATAAGTTAGTTGTTTATATTTGTGTTTATATTTGGAAGTTTATCTATCAAGTAGTTTATTCAACTCAATTTTCAATCAAAACGGATCATTGAAGTTCGCACTCAAAACTCGTCTGGAAAGAAAATGGCGAATTGTGTGACAACTCGAATTTCTAACAGATTTTTTAATAAATGTTTGGTGAAACTTGCAGGAATTTCGAGTGGATTAACAGGCACAGAGTCTACACATAGGAATAACTTGACCTCATTCCCAGGGCGAGATGTAACGAGTGCTTGGTAAGTACTTTTTGTGATAGCAGGATGTAAATAGGTTGACAAATTGAGGGTCGGAAGAAGAAAGAGTGAGGGGGGGGGGGGGAGGGGGAGTGTATACAGAGAGTATTAAGAAGTAAAAAAAGGAGGGGGTTGGTGAAAAATCGAATTTTCGGAGTATTTTAACTATTTTGTATCAGATTTAATTTTCAAAGAAAGATAACCCTATTTCTGAAACTATAGCTGTCCTGATGAGGATTGTGTATCTGAAACATAACAGTATGACTTGAGCTCTCGTCAATTAAAATGCAATAGTTAGAATTCTTAAAATTTTTACTCCGGAATATAAATATAAATATACATATTGATTTTACAAATCGATTTCCCTGTAGCCTACCAACCTTCTTACAAGCTATTTGAGCCGAGATGAAGCAGCTTTAAGTATAAAGAATTAGGTTAATCTCCAAGTCATTCATTGTTAGTCCACTAAGATCAATGGTGTTTCATCGTGTTTGCTATAGTTGATAATCCACTAAGATCAATGGTGTTTCATCGTGTTTGCTATAGTTGATAGTCCACTAAGATCAATGGTGTTTCATCGTGTTTGCTATAGTTGATAGTCCACTAAGATCAATGGTGTTTCATCGTGTTTGCTATAGTTGATAATCCACTAAGATCAATGGTGTTTCATCGTGTTTGCTATAGTTGATAGTCCACTAAGATCAATGGTGTTTCATCGTGTTTGCTATAGTTGATAGTCCACTAAGATCAATGGTGTTTCATCGTGTTTGTTATAGTTGTTAGTCCACTAAGATCAATGGTGTTTCATCGTGTTTGCTATAGTTGATAGTCCACTAAGATCAATGGTGTTTCATCGTGTTTGCTATAGTTGATAATCCACTAAGATCAATGGTGTTGCATCGTGTTTGTTATAGTTGATAATCCACTAAGATCAATGGTGTTTCATCGTGTTTGCTATAGTTGATAGTCCACTAAGATCAATGGTGTTTCATCGTGTTTGCTATAGTTGATAATCCACTAAGATCAATGGTGTTTCATCGTGTTTGCTATAGTTGATAATCCACTAAGATCAATGGTGTTTCATCGTGTTTGTTATAGTTGATAGTCCACTAAGATCAATGGTGTTTCATCGTGTTAGCTATAGTTGATAATCCACTAAGATCAATGGTGTTTCATCGTGTTTGCTATAGTTGATAGTCCACTAAGATCAATGGTGTTTCATCGTGTTTGCTATAGTTGATAATCCACTAAGATCAATGGTGTTTCATCGTGTTTGCTATAGTTGTTAGTCCACTAAAATCAATGGTGTTTCATCGTGTTTGCTATAGTTGATAATCCACTAAAATCAATGGTGTTTCATCGTGTTTGCTATAGTTGATAATCCACTAAGATCAATGGTGTTTCATCGTGTTAGCTATAGTTGATAGTCCACTAAGATCAATGGTGTTTCATCGTGTTTGCTATAGTGGTTAGTCCACTAAGATCAATGGTGTTTCATCGTGTTTGCTATAGTTGATAGTCCACTAAGATCAATGGTGTTTCATCGTGTTTGCTATAGTGGTTAGTCCACTAAGATCAATGGTGTTTCATCGTGTTTGCTATAGTTGATAGTCCACTAAGATCAATGGTGTTTCATCGTGTTTGCTATAGTTGATAGTCCACTAAGATCATTGGTGTTTCATGTCATTGTGTTTGCTAATTGAACACGATGTGTTATAATGTTGGAAATATTTATCTTCCAAACCTAATTCAAGTTTGAGATAGTTTTTATTGAGTGAATCTTATCGCCTCAACTTGAGGTCAGCGAATTCTTTATCTCTGACCCTTATTTACCATATTATCATCGGAGAAGATTCAAATACAGTAATCGAGAATTAAAAATCTACCCAAATATAATTTCCTATCTTTAAAGTATGATAGCTATGTAAACTCTATGAAAGTCCAATTGACGAACGAAAACGGCATTCATGATGTATACTAGTCCGAAACATCTACCTCTATTCCAGCCTCTGATAGCTATTTTAACAGTTGTCGCTACTCCAACAGATAACTCTCAAACTATTTATCAAAGGCTGCAATAGAGGCAACTATGCAAACAAAAAAAATGGTTTCAGAAATGAACCGATGGTCATTTTTCACAATATGTATTCGAGCGATTGAACATGACAAGCTATAAAGTTTTAACTTGAATATCTAATGAATATTTATGAGTTATCTATATACATGATAAAGAACAATATTAAAACATTAGACACGATTTCTTCTCTTCTTTTATCACTTTTAATAGCCATATCTGTATATTATTTACATTATATTAGATACTGATAGCTGAAATTGAGCTGGTTTAAAAGGCGAATATTGAGATGATTATAAGCTGAAACCGAGTTCTATCAGCTGGTAAAGTAAATATTTAGACAACTATACAGATAGCTGAAACCGAGTTCTATCAGCTGGTAAAGTAAATATTTGGATGACTATACAGATAGCTGAAACCGATCTCTATCAGCTGGTAAAGTAAATATTTAGACAACTGTACAGATAGCTGACATTGAGTTCTATCAGCTGGTAAAGTAAATATTTAGACAACTGTACAGATAGCTGAAATTGAGTTCTATCAGTTGGTAAAGTAAATATTTAGATGACTATACAGATAGCTGAAACCGATCTCTATCAGCTGGTAAAGTAAATATTTAGACAACTGTACAGATAGCTGAAACCGAGTTCTATCAGCTGGTAAAGTAAATATTTAGACAACTGCACAGATAGCTGAAATTGAGCTCTATCAGCTGGTAAAGTAAATATTTGGATGGCTATATAGATCGCTGAAATTGAGCTCTATCAGCTGGTAAAATAAATATTTAGATGACTATACAGATAGCTGAAATTGAGATCTATCAGCTGATAAAGTAAATATTTAGATGACTATACAGATAGCTGAAATTGAAATCTATCAGCTGATAAAGTAAATATTTAGATGGCTATACAGATAGCCGAAATTGAGCTCTATCAGCTGGTAAAGTAAATATTTAGATGACTATACAGATAGCCGAAATTGAACTCTATCAGCTGGTAAAGTAAATATTTAGATGACTATACAGATAGTTGAAATTGAGTTCTATCAGCTGGTGAAATAAATATTTAGATGACTATACAGATAGCTGAAATTGAGCTCTATCAGCTGGTAAAGTAAATATTTAGATGACTATACAGATAGCCGAAATTGAACTCTATCAGCTGGTAAAGTAAATATTTAGATGACTATACAGATAGTTGAAATTAAGTTCTATCAGCTGGTGAAATAAATATTTAGATGACTATACAGAGAGCTGAAATTGAGATCTATCAGCTGGTAAAGTAAATATTTAGATGACTATACAGATAGCTGAAATTGAGATCTATCAGCTGGTAAAGTAAATATTTAGATGACTATACAGATAGCTGAAATTGAGCTCTATCAGCTGGTAAAGTAAATATTTGGATGGCTATATAGATCGCTGAAATTGAGCTCTATCAGCTGGTAAAATAGATATTTAGATGACTATACAGATAGCTGAAATTGAGATCTATCAGCTGGTAAAGTAAATATTTAGATGACTATACAGATAGCTGAAATTGAGCTCTATCAGCTGGTAAAATAAATATTTAGATGACTATACAGATAGCTGAAATTGAGATCTATCTGCTGATAAAGTAAATATTTAGATGACTATACAGAGAGCTGAAATTGAGATCTATCAGCTGGTAAAGTAAATATTTAGATGACTATACAGATAGCTAAAATTGAGATCTATCTGCTGGTAAAGTAAATATTTAGATGACTATACAGAAAGCTGAAATTGAGTTCTATCAGCTGGTAAAGTAAATATTTAGATGACTATACAGATAGCTAAAATTGAGATCTATCTGCTGGTAAAGTAAATATTTAGATGACTATACAGATAGCTGAAATTGAGTTCTATCTGCTGGTAAAGTAAATATTTATATGACTAAACAGATAGCTGAAATTGAGATCTATCAGCTGGTAAAGTAAATATTTAGATGACTATACAGATAGCTGAAATTGAGATCTATCAGCTGGTAAAGTAAATATTTAGATGGCTATACAGAGAGCTGAAATTGAGATCTATCAGCTGGTAAAGTAAATATTTAGATGACTATACAGATAGCTGAAATTGAGATCTATCAGCTGGTAAAGTAAATATTTAGATGGCTATACAGAGAGCTGAAATTGAGATCTATCAGCTGGTAAAGTAAATATTTAGATGACTATACAGATAGCTGAAATTGAGATCTATCAGCTGGTAAAGTCAATATTTAGATGGCTATACAGATAGCTGAAATCGAGATCTATCAGCTGGTAAAGTAAATATTTAGATGGCTATACAGATAGCTGAAATTGAGATCTATCAGCTGGTAAAGTAAATATTTAGATGGCTATACAGATAGCTGAAATCGAGATCTATCAGCTGGTAAAGTAAATATTTAGATGGCTATACAGATAGCTGAAATTGAGATCTATCAGCTGGTAAAGTAAATATTTAGATGGCTATACAGATAGCTGAAATCGAGATCTATCAGCTGGTAAAGTAAATATTTAGATGGCTATACAGATAGCTGAAATTGAGATCTATCAGCTGGTAAAGTAAATATTTAGATGGCTATACAGATAGCTGAAATTGAGATCTATCAGCTGGTAAAGTAAATATTTAGATGGCTATACAGATAGCTGAAATCGAGATATACCAAGTGGTAAATTAGATGAAATTACTGAGCTCTATCAGCTGATAAAGTAAATAGTTATACGAATAAAAAGAGCCGAAATTGAGCTCTTTCAGAAGTAAATATCAAGATGACTGAAGAGACAGATGAAATTAAGCTCTATATTAAGCTTGATAAGTTACTAGAAATTTCCACCAATTGAAAAACACGACGACTATTATCTATTTATAGAAACTCGACACTAAATTATCAAAATGAAATCATCTCAGAGGGGGGGTCATTGTTGTGCTTTTAACAGTCCACGAGTTTTGCTCATATTATGATGTGTTTTTGTTATTTAAAAAATAGTTTATTAAACCTACCATGCATGATATTTAGAAAAATTGTGAATATAATACACACCTATTATATATTATATTATCTGTAAACGTAGGCTATTACAGTGGCGGAGCCAGGTTTACGTTCGAGAGGGGGCGAGGGGGGCGAGATATCTGAGATTGCCCGAATCTTTAACCTAGTTATGAGATTTTTGCCCGAAAAACTTGCTTTCGGGTCTGCGAGGGGCAGCGGCCGCCCCCCTCTGTCCCCCTTTGGCTCCGCCACTGGGCTATTATATTGTCGTTTGCTGATAATTATCGCTGATCCACTCTCTCTACAGCCAGACTCTGATTTATTTCTCCGTTTTGTTGGTTTATAAAACCTGGCCTACCTATATTCGTAATGATTTGACAATATTTCAACCCTAATAGCTTAATTGATTCTTTAATACAGCAAATTATTTGTGTTACATCTAAAACCCTTTACAGTTGTTATTGGGAGAAAATGAGTGGGATTTCGCCACTTTCCTGAAACAAATCCTCTCATTGCACACTGCACACCACTGTCAGTATTATATAACCCATTTTAGATCAGTAATATAGGACATAAAACTTCATTTCATTCTCATTATGAGTAAAGATAATTTAAAACTAGGTCAGTTAATCACATTGAGCAGAAATTCAACCACAACTTCAATATGTTTAATATCAGAAAGGTAGATTTATAGACCAAGGGAAATAACTCACGATTTATTTTTATTGGTAAACTGATCAATTAAAGGGACCAATCATACTTTAGTCTTAGAAACGGGAAATTTTTTTATTTGAGCTAATCAGTTGTAATGTTCACTGTTCACAGTCCAAATTTGAACCTTCAAATCCATTTGTGTCCAGAATTATCTGTGTTTGAAAGTTAACAGAGGACTTGTCAATTTAAGATACTCTTTGACAAATAGAAAATACATATATAGAAATAGTGAGTAAAATTTCTAGTTTGAAGTATTTTTAAAGTTATTATGCGATTTTCGTACAATTCTAGTATTTCTGAAGACTATATACATATATTCAAGTACAAAATGGCACATCTGTCAATTTAAGCTGGAGATGCCTACTCTTAAATATAGTTGTCTGTACATGTTAATGTACTGATTAGAACCCGTACATGTTTTATTGACACTGACAGTGTTTTTCTCCTGCTGATGGACCCTGTTGTGAACAAGTTTCTTGGTCGACTAGAAGTTGTCACCTGCTGATGGAACCTGTTGTGAACAAGTTTCTTGGTCGACTAGAAGTTGTCTCCTGCTGATGGACCCTGTTGTGAACAAGTTTCTTGGTCGAGTAGAAATTTTCTTTCGCTGATGACTATGATATATTACAGGTACACAACAACAAGTGGTGAAAGAAAGAAGTTAAAATGGAGTTATCTTCACGGAAACGACAATGAACAGCTATTAGGTATAACAATCGGCAAGGCTTTACAGAATACAGTAGAAAGAATTCCTGACCAGGAAGCTTGTGTTTTCTATGAGGCTGGAATCAGAAAAACTAACGCCCAATTCCTGGAAGAGGTATGTCTATTTGAACTATTTTGAAAGTTCTATGGGCGGCATCACAATAGTATTGATTGATATAATAGATCTCGTACATTTATAATTTCAAATCTACTCGATGATATCTAGTAGCAGCTGTTAGTGTCAATATTTTTTACATTTGTAAAAGATAAGATTTGAACGACATTCAGAAGCGGACAAAAACAAAATCCCAAAAATATAATACTTTTACAACAGCAGTCTAATTCAAATTAGACCAAACTTTCTTTCGTTTTTTATAATATGTTTTTAATTTAGCCACTTCAGTTAAGGTCTAACGACAGGCCACTTCAGCGTTCGCCAAATTGACCTTTTGACCTAACCTGATAACACCGCGTCACAAAATGCCAGTGCTGGAGAGATAGAAATAAGATTGGTTAAAGCATTAGGTCAACAGGTTAATTTGACAAACGTTGAAGACGTTGAAGCTGTCGTTAGACCTTAACTGAAATGACTATATTAAAAATTAAAAAGCTGATAAAAAAAAACGAAACGAAAAGTTGGTCTAATTATAATTAGACTGCTGTTATAACACATTTCATTAATAACAAAGTACACAACGTTTCAACATAGTTTAATGATACATTTTGTTATATTATAACAAATGATTTTATGTACTTTGTCATTAAAGACATGTGTTATACCATAATATATTCCCGTGTGTTATTGTTATATGAACTTTAGTAATAATACTAGATGATACAAATCAGTTTTATTTGTCAATCCACAAGAACTTTCTTGTTTTTCTGGCCTCAGGATTTTGCCAACTTATGTTCATTGTCCAGACTGTATTTCCTCGTCTGCTTTTCATTCGTCCAAACTAAAATCGTAAGAAAATCGTAAAACAAAATTTCATTTCATGTGAATAACCCGTACATCATCTCTACCCTAACATGTCAATAACCTGTACATCATCTCTACCCTTACATGTCAATAACCCGTACATCATCACTACCCTAACATGTCAATAACCTGTACATCATCTCTACCCTAACGTGTCAATAACCTGTACATCATATCTACCCTAACATGTCAATAACCTGTACATCATCACTACCCTAACATATCAATAACCTGTACATCATCTCTACCCTAACGTGTCAATAACCGATACATCATATCTACCCTAACATGTCAATAACCTGTACATCATCTCTACCCTAACTTGTCAATAACCTGTACATCATCTCTACCCTAACATGTCAATAACCCGTACATCATCTCTACCCTAACTTGTCAATAACCTGTACATCATATCTACCCTAACATGTCAATAACCTGTACATCATCTCTACCCTAACTTGTCAATAACCCGTACATCATCTCTACCCTAACATGTCAATAACCTGTACATCATCTCTACCCTAACTTGTCAATAACCCGTACATCATCTCTACCCTAACTTGTCAATAACCTGTACATCATCTCTACCCTAACATGTCAATAACCCGTACATCATCTCTACCCTAACTTGTCAATAACCTGTACATCATATCTACCCTAACATGTCAATAACCTGTACATCATCTCTACCCTAACATGTCAATAACCTGTACATCATCACTACCCTAACATGTCAATAACCCGTACATCATCTCTACCCTAACATGTCAATAACCCGTACATCATCTCTACCCTAACATGTCAATAACCTGTACATCATATCTACCCTAACGTGTCAATAACCTGTACATCATCTCTACCCTAACATGTCAATAACCTGTACATCATCACTACCCTAACATATCAATAACCTGTACATCATCTCTACCCTAACGTGTCAATAACCGATACATCATATCTACCCTAACATGTCAATAACCTGTACATCATCTCTACCCTAACTTGTCAATAACCTGTACATCATATCTACCCTAACGTGTCAATAACCTGTACATCATATCTACCCTAACGTGTCAATAACCTGTACATCATATCTACCCTAACATGTCAATAACCTGTACATCATCTCTACCGTAACATGTCAATAACCTGTACATCATCACTACCCTAACATATCAATAACCTGTACATCATCTCTACCCTAACGTGTCAATAACCGATACATCATATCCACCCTAACATATCAATAACCTGTACATCATATCTACCCTAACGTGTCAATAACCTGTACATCATCTCTACCCTAACATGTCAATAACCTGTACATCATCTCTACCCTAACGTGTCAATAACCTGTACATCATCTCCACCCTAACATGTCAATAACCTGTACATCATCTCTAACCTAACGTGTCAATAACCTGTACATCATCTCTACCCTAACATGTCAATAACCCGTACATCATCTCTACCCTAACATGTCAATAACCTGTACATCATCTCTACCCTAACATGTCAATAACCTGTACATCATATCTACCCTAACGTGTCAATAACCCGTACATCATCTCTACCCTAACATGTCAATAACCCGTACATCATCTCTACCCTAACATGTCAATAACCCGTACATCATCTCTACCCTAACATGTCAATAACCTGTACATCATATCTACCCTAACATGTCAATAACCTGTACATCATCTCTACCCTAACGTGTCAATAACCTGTACATCATCTCTACCCTAACATGTCAATAACTCAATCCTTTCCATTATCCTCACTGTGATATAATAATAAACTATTTTCACTAATATAATATATGAATGTACATATTGTATTGTTTATAACTGTTTCTGCCACCAGGTTGATCAGTTTGCTGCCGGTTTATTATCACTAGGGTTAAAACGAGGAGATCGAGTTGGTATTTGGGGACCCAACTCGTATGAATGGCTGATTGTACAATATGCTACAGCTAGACTTGGTATTATATTGGTAAGATTCTAGTTTTTTTTAAAAGTATCATTTAACTAATAAAAATCAAATTTTATTCTATGTCCCTCCTCTGGCTAACAAACAATTTCTTAATTAAGTTGTTTGCTTTATCGAATGAAATTTTTGAAAATGTATTATATCTTAATATCCCCTTTGGTTTTCTACGAAAGTTACGAACTTGTGTATGGATGCAATTCTCAATTTTTACCCGGTAGTGGCTCCGAAGCTGGTACATTTACTTCAAGTACCAATTTGGAAAATATTGTTGTTTTCAGTCATATCCTTTTTCTGTACAATTTTCTCGATCCTATTGATGTCACAGACCCGGATTCGCAACGTTGCAAGAAAGCGATTCGTTCAGTTGATATAAGTAAGAAAAAGGCGCTTGTTAAATGAAGACAAGGCTGCCGGACCATTGATATCGAGGTTCTATCTGATAATTACAGTATTTATGAATATTCTATCACTAATTACAGGTCAATATTAACCCCCAGTATAAACAACATGAATTAGAATATGCTCTTAAGAAGGTTTGTTCATTCACTTTCTATTGTTGGGGTTGGTTCAATATATTTTTGACAACTGTTAAGGCCCCGTCACACCGGAATGGCGTTCTTACTTTGAAGGAAAATTGACTTCGATAGTATTAAAGTCGCCATAATCGTGGCATAAGCCACACATCGTGCCACTATTAGCCGAGTAACGGCGTTTATTTTGAAAATGTTCAAAACAAAAGCCAAGGTTCGCCGATCTTTTCCCGAACGTGTCGACAGGCGATGTAACTTCTCCTTGAGAGGTACAGAAGCGTAGTGCACGCGTGGCAAAGACGCATGAAAAAACGTTAGAACACAATATCGTCTCGTAACTCGCTGGTTGTATGAGGTCGACTGTTTTAAAGTTTATAATTTTATAGGGACTTTTTCTCTAGTTTTCCTCGCGATTGACCTCAACCTATTTTTATTTTTTTCCAGTTGTCGTTAAATCGCAAATGATCGTAGTTCGATGTGACCGGGCTATAATGAAAAAGAAATTTTGTTGGACAAATTGGACTCCGATGCTTTCCTTTATAATATTGAAATTCGATTAAGATATATGGATATAATTACAGGTTGAATGTAAAGCGTTAATATCAGCTACAGGATATCTAAATATAGATTATTATGATTTATTGTTTGAGATTTTACCAGAACTGGCTACAGACCAACCTAACAACATTCACAGTCATTTGTAGGTAAACTTACCCTCAACCATCTGCACAATGTCAAGCTATTATACACTTCATCTTATACCTTTACTCATCTTCACAATGTCAAGCTATTACACACTTCATCTTATACCTTTACTCATCTTCACAATGTCAAGTCATTACACACTTCATCTTATACCTTTACTCATCTTCACAATGTCAAGTCATTACACACTTCATCTTATACCTTTACTCATCTTTACAATGTCAAGTCATTACACACTTCATCTTATACCTTTACTCATCTTTACAATGTCAAGTCATTACACACTTCATCTTATACCTTTACTCATCTTCACAATGTCAAACTATTACACACTTCATCTTATACCTTTACTCATCTTCACAATGTCAAGTTAATACACTTCATCTTATACCTTTACTCATCTTCACAATGTCAAACTATTATACACTTCATCTTATACCTTTACTCATCTTCACAATGTCAAGTTATAACAAACTTCATCTTATACCTTGCCTGCAATAGCCACCTTTCTTGTATCACTGAAGTTTGTAAATACAGCGATGTGGTTGGATTGATACAGCCAATCAGATTGGGGTATTTACAAACAAGCCATTTTATTTGATTGGAGTGTTCGACAGAATTTCTAAAAAGATAATGATAATGGGTTGTAATTTCAGGTTACCAGAGTTCAGAACGCTGATTATGATGGGAGACAAACAATACAGGTATCTTGATTCGTTAGTTTATCAATTCTTTATCGAAAACAAATTGAGGTCCACCATGGTACGGTTGTAGGGTGCAGAGCGTACACATGGTTCCGAAACACCCGATGCCACTTTGCCAATGTCAGAATTGCTTATTTGGTATATTTATTATTACAAGTTCAGACACTCTTTCTTTATAAAACATCTGATGAAAGACAAAAATCTTTTTAAACACTCGATATTTACAATTTGGCAAAAACATTCCCCCTTCTTTTTTAAGTTCTAAACACAATATTAATCATTTATTTCACCCCAAAACAAAACACAGTGTTCTTTTTTATATTTTAAATCGAGGAAGGAAATTGTCTGTGTCCAATTTCAGTATAAAAGATGTTATTGTAATAATTTCATTATAAAAGATGTTATTGTAATAATTTCAGTATAAAAGATGTTATTGTAATAATTATAAAAGATGTTATTGTAATAATTTCAGTATAAAAGATGTTATTGTAATAATTTCAGTACAAAAGATGTTATTGTAATAATTATAAAAGATGTTATTGTAATAATTTCAGTATAAAAGATGTTATTGTAATAATTTCAGTATAAAAGATGTTATTGTAATAATTTCAGTGTAAAAGATGTTATTGTAATAATTTCAGTGTAAAAGATGTTATTGTAATAATTTCAGTATAAAAGATGTTATTGTAATAATTTCAGTATAAAAGATGTTATTGTAATAATGTCAGATGTTATTGTAATAATTTCAGTATAAAAGATGTTATTGTAATAATTTCAGTATAAAAGATGTTATTGTAATAATTTCAGTATAAAAGATGTTATTGTAATAATTTCAGTATAAAAGATGTTATTGTACTAATTATAAAAGATGTTATTGTAATAATTTCATTATAAAAGATGTTATTGTAATAATTTCAGTATAAAAGATGTTATTGTAATAATTATAAAAGATGTTATTGTAATAATTTCAGTATAAAAGATGTTATTGTAATAATTTCAGTATAAAAGATGTTATTGTAATAATTATAAAAGATGTTATTGTAATAATTTCAGTATAAAAGATGTTATTGTAATAATTTCAGTATAAAAGATGTTATTGTAATAATTTCAGTGTAAAAGATGTTATTATAATAATTTCAGTATAAAAGATGTTATTGTAATAATTTCAGTATAAAAGATGTTATTGTAATAATTTCAGTATAAAAGATGTTATTGTAATAATTTCAGTATAAAAGATGTTATTGTAATAATTATAAAAGATGTTATTGTAATAATTTCATTATAAAAGATGTTATTGTAATAATTTCAGTATAAAAGATGTTATTGTAATAATTATAAAAGATGTTATTGTAATAATTTCAGTATAAAAGATGTTATTGTAATAATTTCAGTATAAAAGATGTTATTGTAATAATTATAAAAGATGTTATTGTAATAATTTCAGTATAAAAGATGTTATTGTAATAATTTCAGTATAAAAGATGTTATTGTAAT